CACCTTGTACTGTTAGCTCTCTTCCTTAATGAATACACTTCATCTCCTCAAGCTAATGTAGTCTTTGGAGGACGTAGATCCATCTTCTGGGAACTTCTAGAGTGCCCAGCACTGTGTCATGTACACAGCGCTTCATAAGAAGTTTCTGGATTAGTGCCACTTCTATATCCAGGTCTGGCCTCATAACAGTTTCTCCTTGTTACTGAAAGCTTGAGAACAGAGCCAGTGGAAATTTTAATGGAAAAAGCCTTGAGGGAGAGGGAAGTGGGGAAAAGCCTACTAATACTTGTGGCGAGAGAGTGAACTTATGAAATTGGCCTGGCTAGACTTCTACATATTAGTTACGTTCTGGGATATAAATGAGGCTAATAACATCTACCTTATAGGGTTGATATTAGGATAAATAATAAATGTTGGGTTAAATAATATGTGTTAGCACATGGGAGGGATTCAGCTAATGTTAAGTCTTTTCCTTCTTTTATATTATAGACATCAATGAAACCCAAAACATCTAGATTTTCCCTTCCCACGCAGCTATCATTACTAGGTTTGGATTATCACCGATTCAATTACCTTTTCAATACCTAAACCATGTTCATACATATAGGCCAGACTGAACATGGCTTGTGCACTGTGGTATTTGTCTGCTGCAATGCTGTAATGTGTGGCTGCTGTCTGATAGTCTTTCTTGGTCCCGTAGCCATAATAATGGTAATCTCCAGTTTTTACTCTAGCGAATGCATTGCCTGATAGAAATATTAGAAAGAAGAATCGTAACTCAAATTATTCTTGTATAGTCCCCAGCACTTTGATCTAATGATCTTGTTTTAGTCTCTTACAGTTTTATATCTATCTATCAACACTCAGATTCTCAGAATCAGGATTTGATATATTTTATGAAACACAAAATATAACACTCAATGCCGCTGTCTTCATTGTAGGATAACACCCATGATACAGTACAACTGTTCTCAAACAAATAATAAATTATAAATGTTACCTTTTAAATTAGATTTTTGAAGGTGGATTAACTCTTGGGAAACTGGACCCCACCCTACCTGTTCTCAGACTTCATTCCTGCTGCTCTACTTTCCTGCATCATCAGTTTCTCCCTCTTTCCTGGACCAATCTCATCAACCATTCAAACATACTCTGATATCTTCCATAAACAAAAATTAGCTCTCTCTTTACCCTGATGTGTCTCTGTCTAGCAACTGCCCAATTTCTCTGGTCTCCTCACACTCAGACTTTTCAAAAGAGTGTTCCACACTCACTGTCTCCATAGCTTCACCTCCCACATACTCTTCAACCCACTCCAATCTCGCTTCTGCCCCCTCTCCCATGAAACTGCTATTTCAAGGTGGTCAACGACCTTATGCTGCCAGATCCACTGGCCACTTCTCTTTCCTCATCTTACTGGCTCTAAAAGCAGCACTGTAGTCACTGGACTTCCCTCCCCTGCCTGGGCACTTTCTCTCTTGGCATCGATAGAACTGCATTCTCTTGATTTGCCTTCCACCTCATAGGCCTTTTCTTTTCAAGCTTCTTGCCTACGTCCTTCTCTATCCAACTTCTTAATTTTGAAATATCAAGGGCTTGTCCCTAGACTCCTTTTTCCCTCTCTTCTCTCCCTTCTTTCTTCTTCCCTCCCACTCCCGCTCTACACCCACTCTCCTCTATCTCAACCATTTTTCTTGGTGGTCTCATCTACTCCCATGGCCACCTTTATGTTAACTATTCCTAAATTTGTATCTAATCCGCTGTCTCTTCCTGAGCCCCAGACTCTTATAATTACCTTCCTGACTTCTCTACTTGGATCTCACCTTAAAATGTCCAAGAGAGATCTTTTAATAACCTACTATCCCAAAACAAAAACAAACAAAACAAAATCATCAGTTTCTTCCCTATTTTAGTACTAGCATTGTTCAGGCTGTAAAGCTAGGGAAATCGTTGCTAATTCTTCTATTTCTTTCATCTCCCTCATCCAATCCATCAGCAAGTCCTGTTAGTTCTACCCTCTAAAACACACTTGTTTCTTGTCATCTCTATCACCATCCTATTCCAAGCCAGGATATTACAATAGCCTCCAAACTGTTCTTTTTTCTTCACTTTTCAAACCATTCTCCACACAACAGCCAAGGTGATATTTTTTAAATGTAAAATCAAATCACGTAATTCCTCTGTGTAAAATTCTCCAATGGCTGCACATTGCACTTGGAATAATATCCAGACTGCTAACCTGATTTACAAGTCATGCCTAACCTGCCTTCTGCTTCCCTGATTAGCCTCATCATACTAACCTCACTGTGTTCTAGCCATCTTACTATTCCCTTAACACACCAAGCTCATTCCTGCTTCAGCATCTCTGCATTAAGATTCCTCAAGTCTCTCTGCCTGAGATGTCAGTATTCCTCTGACTCTTCATGTGAATGGTTTTCCATTATTCGGGTCTTAGCACAAATGTCACTTCCCTCACATAGGCCTTCTCTGACTACCTTTTCTAAAGCATCCCCTCATCCCCCACCCTAGTAATTATCCACCTCATCTCCATGTTTTTTTTACTTCACAGAACATATCATTATTATCTTGTTTATGTGTTTACTGGTTTATTGTCTTTCTTCCCCATAGGGCAAGAACTTTGAAAGTCGTAATTACTGATATAGTCCCAGAACCTAGAATGGTACTTGATAAATATTCATGGAATGAATAGCTAGACCTGGTAGGAAATTTTTTCCCCAAATGTTGAGTAATATCATGTATTACTTTTAAACAAACATGCATATATTAAAGAGTAGAAAAAAGTCATGTGACTTTTGAAGATATGAGACTTCAGTCTTTTGAAGGCATTTAGGTACGACTCCTAAGGATCTCCTTGGGGTCCATGTTTCCATTCCACTAAGAGAATGTTGACTGAAAAAATGAGGGAACACTCATCTAGGACATCTATTTTAGCTGTAGCCAATCCCTCTAGCATGATCTAGGAGTACTTGGAAAAAGAGGAAATATCCGTATTGTATGATTGGAGGTGTCCCATTAAGGGCTATAAAATTCCTTCCAATTTGTTTTTTTCTCCATTTGGTCTCGTGTATTACCTGAAATTCCTTTGGAATTTATTCCTTTTGGTACTGAAATTCTTTTAATTGTCTAGAATCCCCTATTAAAAGGTAGAGACCTCTAAGACATGTAATACTAGAACCATTTTTAGCTCAGTATGAAAAGAGCTGAAATCATAAAATCCTCAGGCTGCCAAAAACATTAGTTATCAGGGTTTGTTTTCCACGTGTTTTGAAATGTAGAGGTAGCTGGGGATAAGGCCTTATAGAAATAGTGCCCAGGAGAGGGGCCTAGAGGAGTAGGAGGCCCACAAAACCCTAAAGAGAAACTCACTCCAGCTCTAATTTTGTCCAAAGCTGCTCTCTCTTGACCTCAAACTTCCTTCTGGGCTATAACCACACACAGGGATAGGACACTCCTGTGAGTTTTCAAGCTTTGCAGGCAGTAAGCAGGAGCCCTGAAGCCTCTGAGAATGGGAGTCAGTGAACAAGCTCGTTTTACGGAGGATTCAGTTCCACCCTAATGAGGGGGCTGACTGGGGGAATGTGGCAGTCCTGACAAGCTCCTGGGGGATCACTTGACAGTGGGAGGCATTTCCATTTGAATCTCACAGTCACAGGGTGCTGACTGTGTCCTGATGGTTCAGCACCCTCCTCATATGCAGCAACTGCTAAAAGAAGCACAACCAGTGACTAATTAAAAAATCTCACTATCAGATTTCCTAACCCCAGGTGAGTCACTTCGCAGCCGTATCTTCAGGGACATTCATGCCTGACCTTCCTTGTGACACACAATTATTTTTAGTGGCCTGACTTTATATTGGGGAATTCTGTTTAATATTAATGTCACCTCGTTTTCAATGTCCCTTTTCCTTGGTGCAATTTCCACTTGATTTCCAGGCTTGGAATAAACCTGTATTTGTTGCAACTGAGCTGCTTTTCCATGGTTGAGAGATTGGTTATGTTATTTCTCCAGTTCAAGTAAGGTCTTTATTGCATTTTGGAAAACACAGACTTTTCTTTTTTAGGGGAATTTCTCACTAAAATTGCATTGATGACTTGTTGCTGCATTACCAGCTCAGCTGGATCTGAGAAGGCACCAGTGTGACTTTTTCCTCTGCCTCATATTAGAATCTGTGAGAATCATTTTTTATCCTATTCACTTCCCATGAGAAGGGATGATTTAGCCTTAGCATGAGATGATTTTAAGAGACCTAATTGGAAGTAAAATTACTCTCTTACTGCAAGAGAGTTCCTTACAGATCCAAATGCCAATAGTGACAGCTTTGCCTTATCTCTCGGCTTTTAATGATATAATTTTAGGAAAAGAACGGGAAGAGGCAGGGTGATGCAAATGCCACCTGCCAGTGCTTTTCCCACCAATGCCATCTTACCTTCCTTATCTCATGGGATCCCAATAAGTGGGACATGGGGACTCCAGGAAAGGGGAGAGGATCTTATCAATTATTATTAGTGGTCATAGTAAAGATCTGAAATTCGTAGTAATCATCAATGTGGTATTTTAAAAGAAAAATCAAATGAGTTTTAGATACATAAGCAATTTTGCATATAAACTCATTGCAACATAAGTCACATCTCTGTTTAGTTCAGTAAAGAACTCAGCAAATGAGTGACTGATGCCAGACCAAGAAAACTGGTTACATAAATAAATTTGTCATGTTTTAAACAACTACTCTGGTGCCATGGAGACTGAGCTACAGACAAATTCCTATGGTTTGCTAAATCAGAGACCTTCATAATAATGTAGAAAACAAATTGCTAGACATGACCTCTAGGCTAACCCAACACTGACCATCAGTAAAGTTTGAAATGCCATCTACTTGACGTTCTGCACCCTTCTGCTTATGTGCCCAAGAATGCAGCTGAAGCCAGTCAGAAGAAGAATAGTGGACAGGAACCAGGTGTGCACTTATCTAGTTTCCATACCTTGAATGGCAGCTCGATTCCACAGAAGAAGTGCCATTGGATACATCTTCTCTTTCTCAAGAATTTTAGCCTTTTCTAAAAAAGGAACCATTCCATTAGTAAGGCTTAAAATTCCCCTGTAGTAAAATCATACATGTACATGTATGAATGCGGAGTTGCAGAGAACTTTAACTTATCTTACTAGATTCCAAAATGAACGCTGAATTGCTCTGAGCTACTTCATACCCCATTTCTGCAAGCAGTGCATACTGAACAAGCGAAGAATCTATATCACCATTCTTATAGGCAAAGTATGCTGTCAGGAATTTCTCAGCCCAGTGGCCTAGTTCACAGACACCTTTATAAAGCTGTATATGGGAGGAGAAATCAAGCAGAATAGTTAGACAATATACTTCATTCTAGGCAAATGATAAATGAAATTAGTCTTCAGCTCCCGCTGGCTGGTCAGGTAAAGATTTCAGGTCTGAAGTGTGGCTTTTGCAGATTATTTAGGATGGAGAGTTAATACCTTTTATAGGCACAAAGACTACCAGTGTATATTTTTGTCTTGAGCTGAAACTTCCTTGGGCTGATTTTAAATTTGTGGCATAAACTTTCCTGACTTGGATGCAGTTCGGCAGGACAAGAATGTATCGACTTCTCTTTAAAACGAAGGGCCTTTCTGGGCACTGCTGCCCTGCAAGGGCAAGTTATAAGGCCACAGCTCAGGTAAAAAGGAGAGACTAAAGGGAAGACAGTGACTGAGGGTGCAGGTGACATCACGAGAGAGGTGTGCAGAACTCTGTGGGGACAAATGTCAACTGAGCTGAATAGCCTTTATGTAACCAAAAGAGGTTAGCCATACATAATTCATTAGGAAGCTGGAAAAGAAGCGAATCTAAAGATAGATTATTAGCTGGCGGCTTTTGAAATGAGTTTAAAAGGGCCAGACTGCAACAAGGAGGTATTTATATGGGCGCAGCATAAGTGTTTAATAAATTAATGAAAGGCATTAAGGTCCTAAAGGTACATCTTTGGAAAAGTATATCACTTGCTCAAGCTGAAAGAATCCACTTTCTAAATACTCTTCCAAATCATCAAAAACCTAAGGACCCTGATTTCTGGGCAGAAGTGGACTACTTTTTCTAGGCTACATCAAGCCTTTCATTTCCCAAGTAGCAACTCCCAAATCCACTAGAAGTGCCAAATTGCCCTGGTGATTTGATTGCAGGCTGAAACAGAGCTCCTTCACTGCATTTTGAGGTGAGCTCTGAACTTGATGGAAAGGCAAACACAAGAGAGGAGGGGTCATTTCTTTCCCTCCCTTCCGCAATTCGAGTTATATCACTGCTTTTCCTCTCTGGCAAATGTCATTGATCAATTTGTCAACTGGAGGAAAAGAGGTAATATTTATAAAATCAAAGGCACCAACCAGTTAAGGGTATTATCACCTCCTCTGTGCGATAAATGAAAAGTACTTCACAATAACCTGTTATTTACCTCCACAGCAGTTCTGCAGGATCTTAAAACTCCTGTTCCTGTTGCGTACATCTCGGCCAGATAATAAATGGCTAGGGGATGCCCACTCTGAGATGCCAAGTAAAAATATTTGAAGGCAAGTTTATAATCCTTCCATACTCCAGAGCCAGCTGAAAAATAAAATTATTTTGAGCCACCCCTTATTCAGTTTATTTTTACATCACAATCTATGGGTATAGCAGTCATAGTGATACCTGCTATTTTAAATAGGACAGGAAGAGCCAACCAAAAGTCAAGCTGCTCTAGAACTACTATTTGTGGAAAGAAAGTTGTGTTCAGTTACCAGGAAGAAAATGGAAATTTATATTCTTGACCCACTGGGAAAATTGAGGAAGAAGGACTGTTCAGTCTCATGAAAATATTCCCTCATTATGGCTTAACTAAAGTTATTGAAAAGAAGCCCAAGTGGTAGTCTCTGAGGACTAGAAGCCCCACCATGAGGTGTTTCGCTATCCTAGTCATCCTTCCATGCCGGGGGGACCAGACAGTTCTTCCCAGTGTGTAACTATGGAGTTTGAAGCAGGTAAGGCCCAGATCCAGCTTGGGTCCAATTCATGCTTGGAGCCAAAGGAGGCATTTGGGGGGGACTAGAGCAGAGAGAACAGCTTGAGAATTAACAGATCCCTAGAAGCCGGGATTCTTGCTCTGCCTCTCCCATTACTCCTTTTGTGAGTTGGGTATATCTAGGCACTTCATTTGGAAAATAAGGGGGATTTCACTAGAAGGTCATTAATCCCCTTCCGGCTGTATCATTTCGTGGCCTTTTGAGGCAGTGTCATGTAGCAGTTAAGAACAAAGGCTCTGGAGGCAGAATTCTTGGGTTTGAATCTCCCCTCCACAAACTGTGTGATCTTGGGCAAGATGTTTGACCTGGATACGGCTCAGTTTGCTCATCTGTAAAACTGTGGGATTAACAGTAACTACCCTATAGATGTTATGGATTTAATTGTGTCCCCTAAAAGTGTGTATCAACTTGGCTAAGCTATGATTCCCAGTCCATTTTGTGAATTGATATGATAATCCTATGTGTTGTAAATCTGAACCTCTATAATGTTAATGAGGCAGGATTAGAGGCAGTTGTGTTAATGAGGCAGGAGTCAATCTACAGGATTAGGTTGTATTTTGAGTCAATCTCTTTTGAGATAAAACAAAAAAAAAAGAGAGAATCGAGCAGAGAGGAGGGGGACCTCATGCCATGCACTCATGCCAACCTTTCAGTTAGCAGCCAAGCACATTAACCATTTGCATCACCCAGGGGCTCCTAATACATAAAGGCTTAATTGGTATGAGGTGCTGGTGAGTCTGTTCTGACTCAAAGCGACCCTATGTGCAACAGAACAAAACACTGCCCGGTCCTGCACCATTCTCACAATCCTTGCTATGCTTGAGCTCATCACTGCAGCCACGGTGTCAGTCCTTCTTGTTGAGGGTCTTCCTCTCTTGTGCTGATCCTCTACTTTACCAAGCATTATGTCCTTCTCCAGGGACTGATCTTTCCTGATAATATGTTCAAAGTATGTGAGACGAAGTCTCACCATCCTCCCTTCTAAGCAGCATCCTGGCTGTAGTTCTTCCAAAACAGATTTGTTCTTTCTTCTGGAAGTCCATGGTATATTCAATATTCTTTGCCAACACCATAATTAATATATATTATTAATTAATACATGTTACCTGTTATATTACTCTCATTCTAGAAGCTTGAGGTATCTGATCGATGCTAGGCCTGGGACTTGGAATGAACTAGAAGAACAGAGTCATCTTAGGCAGACTCTAACACCCCAGGACAGTAGAAAACAAGCCCTCTTCCTGGGACACTGTGGAAAAGGACCACTGACCTCCTGGCCAGACCTGGCCTCCTGGATGATGCAATCTGATGCTGCCCTGGCTCCACCTCTGACAGGGAGCACTTGGTGAGATGCTCAGGTATGCTCAGATCTCCTGGTCCTTGTCTTGGTCACTCCCCCTCTCAGTCCCCTCTGAGGTGATTCCAAACCTTCCTGGCTTTCTGAGACTCCTGCCCCCACCACTCTACCCCGGCTCTCGGAAGGAAACTTTGTGACTCCTAGCTCATTGAAGAAACTCTGCATTGTCTTTCCTCACGTGTTTCCCCTCCCCCATATCTACATCTGTACCATCGTTTTGTCTATCCCTCCAGTCTTAAAGGGTGATAAATCCCTCCTCTCTATCAAGCCTAATGAAGCTCTCCACCTATCTGGCCCAAATCAGATCCTATTGCCACCCAACTTTTTCTAGAACCTCTTTTCCTCAATTATCCCATCTCACCCATGATCCATTAACCACCTCCATTGGTTGGGTTTCTTTTTTCTGCCAAAAATTATACTCAGCTCTCCTACTGTCTTAAAAACAATTCTCTCTTGTTTCTTGGTCTCCCTCAAGCTACCCTTCCAGCTCTCTCCTTCTCTTTAAGGCACACTTCTTGCAAGAATATTTTTTACTCATCTGCTTCCTCACCTTCCATTCACAACCCAACCACTGCCATATGGCTTCCATCTCAACCAGTCCAATGACCTCATCAACATCCTCCATATTGCCAAATCCCACGGACACTCAGTCCTTTCTTATTTTTAATCAGGCTTCTCACTGCATTGCCATGGGTGCTCATTTATTTATTCTTGAAAGTTCTACCCTCTTGGTTTCCTTAAGATCACTTTTTTCCCTATTCCTCTAACCATACCTTTTCAGTCTTCTTGGTGACTGTTTCTTCTCTGCCCATCCTTTCAATACAGCACTGAAGTTCACCAGATTTCTGACTTGGTTACTACTCCTTCCTCTTAACACTCTCTTTTCCTTTTACAAGCTCATCTACCTTTATGTCTTTAACTAACATCTGTATGTTGATGCCTCTCAAATCTTTTCAAGTTTCACTTCTTCTGAGTGTCCTATTTGCTTCTGTGTATGTATGTCCATTTGGATATCACAAACGCAACTCAAATTTAGTCTTTTCAAAAGTGAGTTTTCTAACTCTGTGCCTCCCTGCCCCCCCTCCCAACTTGCCTCCTTCAGTCTTCAAATTCCTCCTCCAAATTGCTGCCTGAATGTTCTATCTAAACTACTCATACCAGCCCTTTCATTTTTGTTATAAAAGTAGCAGACTTAATGCATTTGTCATTCTAAATAAAGCAGCCGTATTTGTAGCACTTACAGTAGTACATGAAACCTAACTGAAACTGTGCGTTGGGCCATCCTTTCTCTGCAGCTTTCTGAAAGTATTTAAGTGCTTCAGCATAATTCTGCAAGATAATTACACTTTATTACTCAAAAGTATATGTACAACTCCATGGTAACAATTGCCTTCCATATATTTTTTGAAGAGTAAAGATGGTATCCTATGTGATTTAGGCTAATAAAAATGGTATCAGAAGTATCATACATTTTATTTCATCTTTATATCAGATTCTTTTAGAAGTAGCTATCTCATTTTCACTGTAAATGATGTCTTTCCCTACATGGACAGTAGATTTTGTTAGATATTGGGGAAAGCCATTCGAAAGACAGAAGAGGTCAAACTAAGAAGACAAATTTCTCTATAAATAAAATCCCTAGGGGCTAGATGATCTCTAAGGTTACTTAGAATCTATGATTTTAAGGTATTATTAGGGTTGTTATTCTTGTTACAAGTTTTTTCATGTATTTGGCAAATATTTCACTTGATTATTTTATTCTCTATGATGAATAGTCTGGCAAACCTGATAATAAAGACTAATTCCTTTAAATTAATGAATGACAATACCTTTTACCCTTTAAATTACTAGAAACATGTTGAAAAGATAATGAAATTACTTAGCTTACCACAGGAACTCCTTTTCCATAAAAGTAAAGAAGACCAAGCCCATGGAGACCAACTGCATTACCCTAGAACAGGTTAAAAAATCCAAGTGAAGTGCCAGAAGAATTCATCATAAGAAAAACTACTGCAAAACCGCTACAAATAATTTAAATGCACTCAATAAGAGATTAATCAAGGCAATTAATTAGACAGTTGGCAGGGTTCTGACTCTCTAGTTTTGCTTTTGACATCTATGACTAGAAAAGAGAAGAAAGTAAAAGTCAAATCTTTCCTCTATTCTTCCATTCTATATTTATTTAGCAGTTGCTTCATATGTGATTCCATGATAGGCACTGGACAGAGGCAGGAGGTGAGAGCTAAAGATGAATAAACCATGATCCCTGCCTTGGAGATTTCAAAGGCTAGTGAGCTGTGAGTCATATCAAAGGAGAAGACCTTTTAAAGTCATATAAAATGTGATAAATCCTATATTATAAATATATTGAGAGTGTGTCGGGCACCCAGGAGAGGAACACTCAACTGCTTGGTTGAGGATAGAGAGTGAAGGAGACAAAGTTGTCAGGGAAGGTGTCACAGAGGTGGTGACATTTGAGCTGGATACTGAAGGATGTATAGAAGGTTTCCAGAAGGGGGAAGTCTATTTGGACACTTGTTAACTGCTTTGATAAAAGGATGTTGACATAAATGGCCAAATAACATTTAGAGACTATCTGTGAATTCCAATCTAGCCATTGTGGATGATAAAGCATTGCTGGTATGTTTCTTTATTCAAATTTGAGTGCTTATAATGTCAACTATTTGTTGATGCTAAATTAATTACCATTCCTTTTTCTGATTAATACTCTGAACACACCAGATACAGTACTTCAACATATGTTCAAATATATTGATATTTAGCATACCAATTCAGGATTTACGAAGAGTGAACCTTGAAAGTGACCACCCCAACCAGAAAACTCACTTTTTTCCCCTATCTCTCATCATACATTTCACCCTCTAGGGAGTGAGTAAGGTGCCACCTTTGGCCACTTGGCTTTCATACAGCAGAACTGTGAGTTTGTTCTACAAGTATGTAGGTATTTCCTCAGGAACATAAGTTCTGATGAAAGCTCCCCAAAATTCTTACCACCCATATTTAGTTACTGTGCATATGACCAGAATATCTCTCAGTGACACGGGAATAGTATATAACTAGAGGAGGGTATATATATATATTTTTTAAAATTT